AAAACAAATGACCATAGATACATTCTGTTTACTGACATTTTAATTTTTCAACTTTTTTTTTTTCTTTAAATATCAATAAACATTTATTTGTTGGGTAGAAAAGCTTGAAAATTTAATTCAAGACACCCAACATATTGTTACAATAGCAGTTGAAAAATATTAAAAATACATTGAAACATTGTTKTTTTTTTTATAAGCATTTAAAGTTTTCTCTAGCTAACAAACTTACAATATACAAATCAATAATTAGTCCGGCTTGGCTCCAACTATGGGGGCCAGCTAAACCTTTAACATTAAAACCTTGCAAGCATTCCAATCCATATGTCTACGCCTAATAACCGCTTCCYYTTGATACGTTACCAATAAAAACCTCCACAAAGACCAGAACATACCAATTCTCAACAACTTCTACTATTTAAAATTTCACAAAGCTCGATCCAAATCCCATAGTTAAAAGTATATCCTCTACCTCAATTATTCCTAGAAGGCTAAAAAGGCAATGGCCTAGAGATCTGCTCAATGCCTAATGAAAAAAAACCTAACCCAATTTTAACCTTTTATACAGCAGTGCGATATCCACTTGCCCGCTTTTTTTAATTTTGAATTACAACAAAGTAATAACTGTTATTTATTTATKAATTTAATCGTTTTGTTTTGTTTTGTTTTTAGATACTTGATGCTATAACAATTAAAAACCTGCATATATTAGAAAACTCTTCTGGTTCAAATGTAGGAACATTGTTTAACAAGTTAAATCATTGCTCTACACCATTTGGCAAACGGTATATTATGTGTAATTATTTGCATAAAAATATCAAATTTTATTCTGCACTAGAATTATAAATAACACCATACAATATTGTTTAGATTACTACACCAGTGGTTGTGTAATCCATTGACAACAATATCCAGTATTAAAGCTAGACAAAATGCAATTTCTTCTTTAATTGTTATTCCTGATTTAATGCATGAAATACGATCAGAACTGGCCAATTTACCTGATTTAGAACGTCTGTTTTCCAGGTAAATTAAAACATAATTATAAACACATTTTTTATTGGATACTTATTTATTATTTTTTCAGGATTTACTCTCAAAGTAGTAATGGAGTTGAATTGGACCATGCAGAAACTAGAGCAATATACTTTGAAGAGAAGACTTATTCAAAAAGGAAAATAATTGATTTCATTTCAATATTGAAAGGTTTCAGAACAAGTGTTAATATAATGGAAAAAATTCAAAGTAATTTTAATAGTTTAAATTTAATTTAAATRACTAAATTTATAATTTAATATTTATTTTTGTAGAAGCTGATATCAAAAAAGAGAATTCAGAATCTAATTTATTGGCTACTATTTGTAATTATCCTGATAGTTCTATCCCTGGAGTATTTCCTCATTTGACTGAACTTCTTGATAATTTTGAGGTAAGTATAGTAGGGCCATTGTAAGAACGCTATTGAGTGACAGCCAAAATTCGTCTGATGTTGCACATTCCCACCACTAAACCTTCCCGAACGCTGGCCGCCACTGCCACTACCGCCGGCGGCTACTAGATAGTAGATTGGGAGAAATTTGGGTACGAAACTGCGGAGCTTGGTTAGGTAGCGCTCTTAGAGTGGCACTACTATAGCAGAATTTCATATTGTAATTATTAGTTAATAACTAGGTACTTTATTTTTAAAAGATAAAAGAGTTCATATTGTTGTTTATGTTTATTGTGTGTAAAATCATAATAGTTCTACTTTCCATAGAATTCTTTTGATCATGATGAAGCTATGAAACATGGTCGTATTTTTCCTGAACCTGGCATGGACAATCAGTATGACAGTGTTTTGGAAAAAATAAAAGAAGTTGATGTCGAGCTAAAATCTTATTTAAAAGAACAATGTAAACACTTTGGATGTACTGTAAGTAACTTACAATTATTTCAAATTTTATTTAACGTGTTTTAAAATTTCCCTGAATTTTGGTAGGTCAATTATTTTGGATCTGATAAAAAACGATATCAATTAGAAGTGCCTGATGCTGCATCAAGAAGAGCTGGAGATGGTTATGAACTTCAAAACCAAAGAAAAGGATTCAAAAGATTCACTACAAATCGTACAAAAGTTTGTAATTTGTAATTTATTTTTGTTCGTGGTTTTTATTTGTATTTGTTGTTCAGGAACTTTTGGAAAAAATGATGAATTACGAACAAGAAAAAATAGATGTACTTAAAGATCTTAGGGAAAGAGTGTTTTCGCGGTTTTGTGACAAATTTGAAGAATGGAACAATGGCATCCAATGTTTGGCTACACTAGATGTATTCATGTCATTAGCAGAATACTGTCGGTGTGAAGAAGAAGTTATGTGTATTCCTTCTTTTATTCCAGCTATTGTTGGTAAAAAGGTCAGTAATACAATTGAATATATATAATGTATAAAACTTTATTTATTTTTGTTACTCAGTATACTTATTTAATTTTAAAAACTTTAAGTTAGTTCTAGCTGAAGCAATATATTTCCTTCATTCTTTATTTTAACTATATATCAACTAATTAGTAATTATCACTACTCTTATAAATTTAATACCTGTAAAATAGTTTCCATGTACAATATTGTAACTAGTAACATTGAGATTGAGTGTCTGCTGTTTATTTGATATTTAGCCATTAATTGAACTCATTGAGGGGCGTTATCCATGTGGTTCTGGAGGAGAGAATTTCATTCCAAACGATACAATCATCGGTAAGGAAGAAGATAGCACGTGGAATTCTAGTTTGATATTAGTAACAGGCCCTAACATGGGAGGAAAGTCTACATTGATGAGACAGCTTGGCATCATCTCTGTTATGGCGCATATGGTAAGAAATACATTAATGGTTTCACCCATGTCCATTACCAAAAAGAATTTTTAAACTTTATCTGTAAAATTTAATTTAAAATTGAGGATATTAATTCTAGTAAACTATAATTTGTGGTAGATTATGAGTATAAGTTGGGCAGCTTAAAAGGCAATTGTCCTATATAGTTAGATACAGAAATCGCCCTTTTTGCTGCTCCATCCTGTAGTTATATTATGTTATAAATATTATAGCTTAAACTTTTTACAGCTTGCTAGGAGTTTCTTGTATATTATAGATTTTTTTCAATTAACGATTTATAATATTAGCAAATTAATCTGAAACAAATTTAAAATGTTCAACTTATATCACTAATTTAATGATATATATTGATTATTGGACAAAAACATTGTTAAATTTGTGTGTTCTAAATTAATAAATATCACTTTATTATTTAGGGTTGTTATGTACCTGCAAAAAGTCTTCTTCTAAATCCTGTTGACAGAATATTCACAAGGATTGGCGCCAACGACAATATAATTGCTGGTGAATCAACATTCTTTGTTGAATTGTGTGAGACATCAGCTATACTTCATCATGCCAGTCGGTTTTCATTAGTCTTAGTTGATGAACTTGGTTAGTTATTTATTTTTAAAGTTATGATAAAATAACTTGAACTAAAAATTTCATAGCAAGCTTAAATTTTATTTCTTTAATATCTCTACTTTTTTTATCTTATTTTTGTTATTTAGGAAGAGGAACTTCAACATATGATGGGACAGCAATCGCCTCAGCTGTTGTTACAGAACTGGTACAAAAACAATGCCGTACACTATTTTCTACCCATTACCACTCGTTGGTCGAAGATTTCAAGGCTAACCCATTAGTTGCACTTGGTCATATGGTATAAATTCAAAATTATATATTTATTATTTATAGATTGATTACATCAAATGCAAAGTTATTTTAATTACTTTTTTCATTTTTTTTTTTTTTTTTTTCAGGCATGCATGGTAGAAGACGATGAAACAAATGAAATGGATGCAGAACAAACTCAAGAAACTATTACTTTTTTGTATAAGTTTGCAAATGGAGCCTGTCCTAAATCATATGGTTTTAACGCAGCTCGTTTGGCTGGCATGCCTACTGACATCATAAAAATTGGTTTACGTAGATCTAAAGAGTTTGAAACTGCTGCTAAGCGCCGAATACTATTCAAAACATTGTTTTCATCCAATGATATATCTGTTGTGAAGACAGCTGTTTTAGCACTATGATTAACCTATTAAGTTCCTTAAACAATATACATAATTTCRGACCGCATTATTATCATTCATTATTTTTTTTATTTTAGTATTCAAATTTTTTGTCAAATTTCACTTATTATAAACACTAAATAGTAAATAATATTTTTATTACAAAAAAAAAAGTAAAAAGTAAAAATCATTCAATAAATTATAAGACTAAGTTCATAAATTTTTATTGTGTGTTATAATTTATATTATGTATCATATTTTAGTGATCTTGTCGATTGGGGCCAGGACATTCTTCCATCAAATCACTTTCATCTTCATATACTGTACCACAGTAAACACAGTAGTTATAAGTGCACCTCAAATAAAAATTTAAAATTTCCAATTGTTCGTTTAATGATATATTTAATTCTTTTTCCTCTGGTTCATCTACATCAACTTCAGGAACTTCCTCAGGCCAAAAAAACTTTTCAGATGGTTCTTGTATATCCTTAAAAACATCATATTTATCTAAAAATTGTTTAACAGAAAATTTCTAAATAATACCCTTAAATCATTAACCCTTTAATTTTTTTWAAACTGGCAGATAGATACTTTTTTCGAGTTGAAATTAATGTCAATTTTTATGAAGCAGTCAAACTTTGAAATTTAAGTTTTATTGATTTTTTTCCTCAAGCTGGGAAGACATTTTTTAGAAAATGTTTAAAATCAACTATTGAGGTTATTGTATATGTTATACCTGTTCTAAATCCATTTGGCGGCAGACTCGTTGGCATCTAAATAAGTCCAAACAGTCTAATTTTTCAGCAGCTTCCTGGGCTCGCCTCTCTCTATACTCGCACACACTGGGTCCCGCTGACCGTCTACTTTGTATCATTGATTTTTTCATTTCTCTGATTTCTTTTAATGCAGCTTCTCTGCCCAGTCCTTTGCGGTCAGTTTTCAACACAATGCCAATTGGCTCCACCCTTCCTGAATCTACCAGGACACAATAAATGTAACTCATTAAAGCAAAAATTTGCACAATACCAGCAAAAMCACTTACTGTTTTTGCCAATTCCTGATCCAGGTTTATAACCCATTTTCTGTAACAGTGAAAAACCTTTGTTGGTGCTATCAATGGCCTTTTCCAATCCTTCCTGACGTTGCTGCTCTTCCAGTGCTTTTGCTCCAGTAGTCTTGTTTATCGATTCGCATTCCTTCCTCTTTTTCATCTGACAGTGAAGTCTTTGCTGTTCATGTGTTAGTAACAGGCCAGGTCGGACATCCTTAACAGTTCTAATAGATCCATACAATGATAAGACAATTGTTCAAATACAGACGTGCTCTTATGAAATATGTAAGATATACTGGKATAACAAGCCTCGTATAATATTATGGATGGAAAAAGAAGTAAGTACCTATAGTTAGGTTGAAAAAATTTTAAAATATTTCAGTGTTTTTAACTATTACTTAATTATTTTAAGTATAAATATTAAATTTTGACTGTATTCTAACTGTTGCTAGTAATCTGAGCAATCACATCTAAAATATGGGATGATTGTCCCCCTCTTGAAGTTTCTCTAGTTGTAATTTTATCATTTCCACAACAATTATGAAAATTTTCACAAATTTWTAATTTTTGAGAATCAAATAAAACAGACATTTCACCAACCCAAGCAAAAATCAAGTAATTCAAGATAATTTGTAAATTTGAGTTACAGATATTTTTTCATTRTGTAAATATTTTGATCACAAATCGATTGAATTGAGTTATTATAATATCATTAAATAGTTTAAATGAATTTAAACCACCGACGCACGTTAATACGTGATGATATACGAATAACCTAGAATACGATCGTGAATTTTTCCTTGTTATGATATATTATAATGCATAATAATAAATAAATAATGCATACAATATTAGAACACATCGTGCAACTAGTATTGGGTACGCACTCAACGTTGAGGAAAGCGTCAGACATGTAGTCGTCTTCTTCATTGTCTGTTGTGGCCATATCAACTGACGTTTTGAATGTTTTGATATCGGTACTCGTAGTTCGCACTTGGAGTCTCCAACAGTCCAACCGTTCTACTTCCTGTCCACTACTAAAATAAACGGAAATCGTCTCAACAGCATCTCACATTCTACATCAACGTATTATTAATTTTACCATTCACTAACGACGTGTGATTAAGTGTCTGAGTAAAAATCTCTAAGAACAGACAGAACGGTTTTTTCGATTCAAAATTTTCAATTAATTACAATTCCCAAGTTTTCAAAGTCTTCATCATAGTTAACCTAACCATGGTTTTCTTCACTTTTTTCAATGATATGCATTGATAAAAACTTCGGTCTTTGAAGATAAGGCACTGATATGGTCTGAAGAGCTGGAGTTAAAGTCGTTAAAGGTCGGTCTACTATCTGTCCTGTCCTTTATAGGATATTATGATGGCATTAAAACGCTGGAACCACAGAACATATGAAAGGTATTTCATATATTCTGTACTCGAACTATATAGTTAAAGAATTTCAAGTTATAACGCCATCATATTAACGTAGTACTATGTTCTTTATAGACATAATCAAGATTTTCAAGAAGAATTCGATACAATGTATCGACCACGGACTAAGATAGAATCTATCACTATCTTAGTACGTGTTGCTTGAATATTGAACATGTAACTTCTTAAGCGCTCAAAATTAAATCGATATATTCCGATACACTTCAATTTCTTCTTTGAAAATCTTGATTATTTTATCATTGATTAATTATTATACATATATATAAAGATATTTAATCAACGATTTTATTACAGTTTTATCACCACCACAAGTAAAGTGGTAAGTTGGCCGGTAACCGCCGTAAAATTAGTGTATAACGAATAACCACTCTCATCATTTTATCTTATCACTCACTGTCACCCGGGGCCAGGACAATCTTTTTTAATTATTAAAATTTGTATACTTTATTACTTTATAGTTTTACTAGTTTTAGATATTATGGTAAACTCAAAACTGGTAAATGACATGACATAATGTCATAATATGTGTGGTGTGTTATAACTTATTATATTATTTAATAATTTTGGTTTAAAAGGTATAATTCTTGCGATACCTAATGGTTACAGTTAATTCACTAACGCACTTGTTTAAAATACCTTGTATATTTATTTAAATGCTCCCGGTAAGTTTTTAATACAGGATCTAACTATTAAATTAATTATTAAAATTAACACTCAACATAAATTTATAAAAAATGTCTTGTTAAGCGTCCCTCCTGACTTTGGAATCTAAAATTAAAGGAGACCCATAATCTTCTCGTAAATAAAAAGGGGAACTCTGTCCCCCTCCTCCCCCTTCACTTTAACCACTATGTTCAATGTTATATGTTTTGGTAATAGCAAAAGTGAGCTGTTTGAGTTGTGCACAATAAAAATTGCAAGCAAGTGCTGCTTTTCACACAAGACTACATTTGCTTTCCCATACAAATTACGCATACTATTTATTGTTACCTTAGCGATATTACCTTCAAAATAGTGATTATGTTTTGGGATACCAGCACAGGAATATCCTACTTAACAGCTAGTATTTAATGTATTAAACAAAATATATCAATACATGTATTATTACTAGGGATGGGATAACGATGCATTTATTTTGCATCTTTTTTTCTGAAACGCTTGACATGATGCTTTCCAGTATTTTAAGTACAGACTATGCTAACAACAAATTTATTTTTGGGCATTATTTATTTGTTTGGGTCATTTTTAACCTATTTTTAGTAAAATTAAAATTAAATTTACAATTACAAATATTATACTAGAACAATATAAAATAATCTCTTTTTTAAATAAAATGATTCAAAAATTAAACTTTTGATGCACRTGTAGCAAAAATATACTTAATCATTTAATAATTTATTAACAATCTAATTGAATACACCTCATATCTAATATAATACACACACATTAGTTTAACAGATATCTGAAGTTTAATTTAAAGTAAATCAAAGTTAGAAGATATAACATGTCAAGTTTAACCGATGAACAGCGTAAAATGATTGAAGCAAATAGAAAAGCTGCCCAGGCCAAATTAGCAGCAAAATTGGCACTTAAAAGTACACCTCAGCAAGCAATTAGTAATAATAATCAATGCACATCATCAAAAGCTGGATTTGTTGTATCGCCATCACCTAATAGAAAGTCAGTCCATATGAATTATAATTATAGTCTGCAGAATTCTAAATCTAAACTTGTTCGTGGAACTTGTGAAATTATATCAAAAGAAAGGTTTACTGTACATGTTACCTATCATCAAAAATTAATCGATACTTTTAAAACAATATCAAGTAAAAATTATGGTAAGTTAAAATTGTATAACACAATTTTACATAGATATTAAATTTTAAATACTAAGACATTGATATTTTTAGACCCAAAAACATCAGAATGGTCATTTCTAATAAAAGACCATGATCAGCTTATGATAAGTATCAAACCTCTTGAGCCTATAGTCAAAATAGAAAAGTTACCACATTTTATTTTAAAAGTACTGAATTGATCAATGAAATGTTATCTGTATCAACACAATTAATATCMTTTTTATTTATTTCAGTTGTTTAAAACTAGAGAAGATATAGAAACACATTGGTCAAAAGTTGACATAAGTAGTATTGGTGATGATATGGTGGATAGTCTTTATCCATTTCAAAAACAAGGAGTCCAGTTAGTTTCCTATTTAAAACAAATAAATTTTAAATGAATAAATGATAAATTTTTAAATTTAGGTTTGGAATATCTAAAAAAGGTCGCTGTATTATTGCAGATGATATGGGCTTAGGAAAGACCATACAAGCAATTGGAATTATAAAATATTATTCAAATAATTTTCCTTTACTCATTGTTTGTCCTTCAAGTATGAGGTAAATAAAARGAGTGTTAATAATTAATACTGTTGTTACATTTAGGTATTTGTACTGTTTGATTATTTATTTATTCATTTTGGCTAAATAAATATTATTTTCCTTGTTGTGTTAGGTACACATGGGAAGAAGAAATTCGTTTAAAAATGCCAAATGTTCCTGTAACTGGGATTTATGTATTATCTAAGATAAATGAACAATTTATTGATCCATCTATTGTTATTACTTCATATGATTTAATGACCAAATCAAAAGATATGCTTTTAAAATTTAAATTTGGGATTATTATATTTGTAAGATATTTTAGTTAACATTTTTAAAATACCTGAATTTCAGACTGATTAAACCAAATGTAAATAATAAATTCTTCTCACTATTTATTCAGGATGAAAGTCACAGTTTAAAAAGTGAAAAATCAGCTCGGACAAGAGTTGCACTTTCTCTTGCAATACAAAGTAAGCAGTGTATTTTGTTAAGTGGTACTCCTGCTTTGTCAAGACCGATTGAACTGTATAGTCAGATAAAAGCAATAACCCRAAATAACTTCATGACTCCGTAAGTTGAAGATTGTCTACCCACCTATTATTTTAAATTTATATTACATGAATAATAATTAATATTTATTACTACCATTGTACATGCTGTGTATTATCATTACGAAATTAACATGATTTTAGGATCGAATATGGGGTTCGTTACTGCAACGGGCGAGAAACAAATTATGGTTGGGACTTTACAGGTGCCACTAATATGAAAGAGTTAAAAATTGTTCTAGAAACTCATTTTATGATTCGTCGTTTAAAAAGTGAAGTATTAAAGCAGTTACCACAAAAAATTAGGTATTAATTACATCATGATTATATCAGGTTTTTAAAAATATTGAGTTGTCCATTTAGTTAAATTAGATATAAATCAAACTATCACCTTAATTTTTAACAAGTTAAGTATTTCTTGAACAAGATTGAAAAATTTGAATTACAGGAATGTAGTAGTTTTAAAATCAGAAAATATCAAAGCTCGTACTCAAAACATAGATGATTTGGAGACCATGATGAACAATAAGTCTCTCAAAAAAATGGAAGTTCGTGGTGCTTTATTAAAATATTTTAATCATACAGGAGAAGCCAAATTATCTGCTATTTGGTGAGTATTACTTATCTAACCTAACCTAAACACCTTTCAATGCAATGTAAATTTTGTTCTGTTGACTGTTGATCTGTATTAATTTGTATATTAAAATAAACATTTTGGAAGTTTTTTAATGATTTATTTTTAAAAATGAATTTACATCAAACATGATTTGTACTTAGAGTTTATTATAATATTCAATTTTAAAGTGACTGACAATAATTCTTTTATACCCATAAAAATAATATCATGAACATAATTTATGATCTGTGACTTTTGCCTTATAGCATATGAGCTTATTTTTGAAAAATTTGTATTTAACTAACTATTTAGCTTTTTGAAACGTTCACTTCAAATATTCTAGACAAATTACTATTATAATTTCTTTGTTATTTTCATAGTTTTTAAAGAAAAATATGATATAACATAAAAAATTATTTTGATATTTAGTGATTATATTCTAAATTTGCTTAAAGAAGGAAAGAAATTCTTAGTATTTGCTCATCATCAAAAAGTAATCAATGGTATATGTGATGTCCTAGAAAACAATAAAACTTAGTGAGTAAATACTAGATTCACATATTATGATGCATGTTAATTCTCCATGTTAGGAGGTTAGGACTATTAATTTTTATTTTATTCCAYGTGTGATTAGTTACATTCGAATTGATGGTAAAACATCATCAGAAGAAAGAAAATGTGTGTGTGACCAATTCCAAAGTGAAGATATGTATAGGGTAGCTGTTCTTTCAATTTGTGCAGCAAACTCTGGTATTACTCTAACTGCTGCAAAGCTTGTTATATTTGCTGAACTTTACTGGAATCCCGGTGTAAGAAAAACTGATAACAACGGTTCCACGTCATTTGGTCGCGGCAAATTAAATGAGCGCGCGTCAAAAGAGCGAGGTCATTTGGTCGCGAGCAATTTAATCGCGTAAGCAAAAAGAGCGCATATAATAAGAGCGCAAAGATAATTAAAAAATACAATTTTTATAAAATCTAGTCGAAAAATCAAAGTTAATATAAAAACACAATTTTAATAAAATATAGTGAAAAAATCAAAGTTAAACATAAAAATACAATTTTAATAAAATCTAGTCGAAAAATCAAAGTTAATATAAAAATACAATTTTAATGAAATCTAGCTATATTATATTTTTGTAGTTGGAAATTTGCAGCAATGTCTTTTAAATATTCGTCAACAGGTTTAATTTCAAATTGCAATACCATATTTTTAATACGTAGAGCTGAATCTTTATATTTTCTTTTTTTTTTTGGAACTGAATATCCAACAATTGCTTGTTCAACTTTGAATTGATTTAAATTATCTTCTTTTTTCAATGCGTTTATAAATGTCCATATGGACGGGTGGACTACATTCAACATAGAATTAAAACCGTTATGCCAACCTTCTATTGCRTTGTTTGTGCGTGGAATGTCTTTTTGGATCAATTCATAACAATTCCAAATACTAATATTAAATAATGTAGGTCTTCTATGACCTCTCCTGTTTGGTCTACCGATGTATGTATCTTCAAAATAATCTAGGAGTTCAGTTAATGAGTTTTGATTTTTTTGGTAAAACTCTGTATTAATTAATGATTCAAAACAATCATTAACTTTATTTTCCGGGACATAAGCTAATGCCAATAATTTACGTAAACATAATGAAAATTCTGGATCTTCTGAATATTTTTTTTGGAGTCCCAAACTTTGAATATGACGCAAAAAAGATTGGCCCAAGTGAAAAAAACAACACTTAATTTGAGTTTTAGGGTAAATGTGTGCTATAGCATTCATGGCAGCAAACGGCTCAAGCGAACTGATTAACCAGAGCTATGAGATTGCAGTAGGTACTGAAAATTGTTATCGCGCTCAAATAGCTTACGCTATTTATGTATCAAGATTAAATTGTTCGCGACCAAATGACCTCGCTCTTGTTATGAGCYCCACTTATTATTATTATTATATAATTTAACATTATAATATTATTATCATATGAACAATTTGTAATGTGGGGAAAGAACGCTGACTTGACATTAGACGTACGTACAATGTAATACCGTCCCGTACGGGCGAGTCAGTCGATGTATGTGGTATGTCTGCGTCAGTTAAACGTAGTGTGTACTAATTTTTGTCTTCAATAAATAATTTTACTTAAATAACTAAACCTATCAGTGTAATATCACATCTCATCTTCCTTTTCGAAAGACTCCCGAATTGACGAACTCAACGATACCTGGTTTCGGCGGATCAATCCGGTGAGACTATAACACTCTTATAACGCGCGCTCATTTTACCGCGACCTAATGACGCGACACCGATAACAACATAAACGTCATGTAAAACTAATTTGATCAAAATATTAATTTTAAGATATTAACCCAAGCTGAAGACCGAGCTCATCGTATTGGTCAAGCAGAAACAGTAACCATACAATATCTTTTGGCAAAAGGTACAGCAGATGATCATATTTGGCCATTGATCCAGTCTAAGTTAAATGTTTTAAACAAAGCCGGTCTTAGTAAGGACAACTTTAAAGATGACAGCACCACAGTTATTGTTAGTATTTAAGCATGATGTACCTATATTATAATTTGTAATATTATTTATATTTAATTTGTTACTTTTTTAATTAGAACTGTTCAACAAAATCAAACCAAATGAATATTCTTGATTTCTTAAATGACGATAATGATGAACTAGATGAGAATGATTTGAAATATTTGGATGAAGTTGAAGAATCACAATGCAAACGTCCACGCAAATGTTAAATTATTTTTAGTAAAAATATTTTTTAATTTTTTTTTTCATTCATTTTTCAATCTAAGTAAATAAGAGAATTATATCACTGAATGCTGAATATTTATGTACAAAATTAATGTACTTAACAAGTGAATTAAATTAATGTTGGTTTATTAATATATTTTAGTAATACAATTTCCCTACTAACATAGTAAGTAACATATTACAATAAGTGTTTTTTACAGTAAGGGTGATAGTACTTAAATATAAAAAAGTTAATATCCTATGCAGATCATGATTGACTACAAACTAAGGTATACCTTATCAGTAACTATTTTTTTTACTTATTAATTATTTAAATATAGCATGCTGCTTCAAGATCTACAGCTATCAACTTGATAGTGACCAATACATCTCTCCTAAAGCAGGGTGTTGGTATTGATTTTGTTATGTTTATTATAAAACCAAGTATGTACACTCGACTCTCTATAATTCAAACCTTCGGTAATTCGAAGTAAATACTTCGTTCCTTAAAAATCACGCGGTAATTCGAACAAATACAATGCATTTAAGTACTCGGTAATTCGAAATTTTTCGCTCCAGTCAGAAGTCACTGTTGAGGTATTTGATGCTTTATTTACTATAGAAAATACTATTGAAAAAATGAAACTAAATTCAATGAAGCAGAAAATCATTACCTACAGATTTCTTCAAAAAATAATAATTTTTTGTAATAATAATAAATAACTCTAATATGTATTACCTAATTTACTGAAATAATTAATATATACATAATATGTATGTACAATAATAAAAAACAATTTTTTTCTTAACTCTATAATTCGAATTTTTTTGCYTTCTCGTTATTTCGAACTACTCGACAATTCGAATTCTCGGTAATTCGAAGTTTTTCGACAGTCCTGTCAATTTCGAATTATTGAAAGTCKACTGTATAGTGTTACTAAGAGCAACTTTTTCAACTTACTATCGAGTATTGATAGTGGATATCAATGATATCATGCATTCATGTCTGGAGAACTCGAGCGGAATTCGGATTTCAAGTAGGTTTACAGATAAGGGAAGACTGAGTTTCTATATAACAATTGTCAAACAATATTATTTCTTTTTTGACATTACTTTACATAAACTCTACTCGACTGGTCCTAACCTTTCAAAACGAGCACGAAGTAAAGAATTATCAAAGACTGTGCTATCATGAACACTTCCTGGCCACCTTCAATTTTTTTWAATAGCTTTTGTAATAAAATTCTTATACCAAAATTAAAGTATTACGCACTTTGCAACTATGTCCAAAAATTCTAATTTTGCATCACTTACACCTTGGACAATGGACATTGAAAGAAAAAAGCCCTTTGCGATTTCTGTATCGCTCTCCAACATCCTTATTAGGACATTGGATTCTAATATGAGTTCCATCTACTGTACCAAGTACCCTGGGAAATTGCCTTATGTTACATTGTTGATGCAGTAATAATATCTTGTGTAGTATTTGGCATTTTAATATAATTTGGCCGCATACTAGCTATAGCTCTTGAAACACACTTTACAGTTCTACATACAGTCGATTTATGGACATGATGAATATGATCCCCAAATACTGCCTATAAATTAAATAAATATAATATTATCTAAATACAAAATAAAAATAAATTGTTTTCATCTGACTTGAAAAGCGCCTGTTGTATAAAATCTGAGTGTGATTAATAATTGTAAATGTGGAGGTAAAGCATAACTGCGTGAGGTTTTATGTAAAATCTGGTCCCGAATCGAAAATAAAACCTCTGAAAATGAATCTTTTGAGAGCCTGTATCATAAAGTAATAAATATATTGTATGCATATTGACGTATAGTTAAAGTTAAATGGAATTTAGGCCCATTCCAAAATACAGAACATAAATTTAAAACAAGATTTTCATAAATAGACAAATAGTTCAATAATAGTTTTCATTGTTCTGAGATTTTTCTAGGATCATTCTATCACTTACCTGAATCGACGTACAAAATCAGCATCATCATACTCTACTAAAGGGTCATATCTATTTCGATATACACGCTCTTTCGGTAGTATTCCAATAACAATCATCGCAAATTCATCATCTGAATCTGATGACGAAAAGGTCATTTTATTTCTATCCATAATGTGATTTAACTATACTATCACAAGGGGAAGTGCCACAAGATTTACCCATTGCATATGCATCTAGAACTTTAAATAAAAGTGAATATAATTATAGCATAACCGAACTTGAATGTTTAGCTATTATATTTGCAATTTGTAGTAAAAATATTTAGACCMTATTTATACGATAAGAATTTCATTATATTAAGCGATCATCGCGCACTTTCATGGCTATTTAATTTAAAAGACCCACTATCAAAACTCGCACAATGGCGAATACTATTGGAAGAATACGATTACCAAATTAAATATACCTAAACCCGGAGTTCAAAATGCAAACGTAGATGCGTTGTCGAGAATGTATACTATTGATGAAATAAAAAGCGAAAGTTATCCAATATTTTTAAACAAATTCGAGACACAGCTAATAACAAATAAAAACATAGGTACAAGTTTTTTTGGTCATCCAACATTTTTTTACCGACACTTCAAAAAAAATTCTCATAAAAATCGAAAATTTCAGTGGTCTATAAATAACTCGGTATTCGTTTAGTATGTGACCTACCGATCGAAAATCGAATTTAGTATGAGACCTACCTGAATTACCGGGTTTAGTGTGTGACCTACGACCAAGACGATTATCTATATCGTAGGTATGGACAACCTATGTTTGCTTATCTTTATAATTATATTATATTATATATTTACTGGTTTTTACCAATAGATATTTTGTCATTCTAACATTATCGACAATATTGTCAGTACGACCAGTACATGTTCTTCAGTTATCGCGTGATTAAAACTTTAAAATGTTGGCAGTCGAATTGTATACGATTATTTCTTCTGAAAAACAGTATTAGAATTTTTATAAACATTTTTTTATACTGATATTTATTTGACTGATGTTGAATATAATAATCCGTAATCTGTAATAATAAAATAACCTAATTATATAATTAATTTGACTGTTTTTAAATTAATTATCGGTCCGGTAGCCGGTAGGTCACGAATACCCTATACGGTAGGTCACATACTAAACGAATAACAATAACTCAAAAATGTCAAATTTTTTTGAAAATTAAACTGTATACCTATATACAATACTAACATAAACATTTGGTGAAAATTTCAAGTATTTACAGTGATTATTTTTTGAATTACAACCATATAAAAAAATCGATTTGGTCGAAAACTGGTTTTGCTAAAAAATTCCCGTTTTTCTGTCATTTTTTTTTTGTTTTTCTCGATTTTTTTGAAAACTGTTGGAAAATGTTTACTTTTCACGTTTATAATACATCAAGGATATTCACTTTTACATCAGAAACCACCCCCAAAGTTTGAAATTGAAGCATTATTTCGACTAGTTATGCTGTACAGTGTACACAGACACAAAAAAAAACACACATCATTGTAAAATCAATACATTCATCACTCAGTTCAGAATTTAAAATTATTAAGGACGGAATTAGTGTATACCTTTTTTTAACTGGGACGGAATTGCCGGAAATGGTATATACCTTTTTATTAACAGGGACCGAGTTGGTATGAAAAAAGGTTCTTGGGACGGAACTAGGATACAGTCCTCCTTAACACACACACAATCCGATTTGTTCTACACATTCTCTTGAGTTCAAAAGATCACGCTAAAACAGTYACCTATATWATAACCAACCAAAATATTTTTTTGCAACTTTTTTTTTTAGTTCCATATTTTTATCTTAGGGAATTAAATTAACTAGCTGACCAACACAACAAAGAATTTTATACATACATAATTTTATAGTTATTGTGCTTATAGGCTATAGGTACCTATACTGTGCATATAAACACACAGTTTATAATGTTTATATTGAATTTACAGTCATGCATACTGCTCATACGGTACTATTGTTGCCTTGTTGGTTAGCGGTGTAGTTACTGATTATTGTTTGTATACGTAAATGTACATTATTATAATCACATGGAAAAACCAAAGAGGCAAAGAATGGTATTTAAAACACATATTATTAGTTATTCTTATTACTAATTATTACTGTATGCAAACCGTTCCGTTAGGGCTTTTAAAAACAAAGCGATTATAGTAGGTTGTACTTACATATTTTACATTTTTATTAAAATTCAGTTATAGGCGTAAATCGTATAAAGAAACATTTACAATACAAAATTATACAATAATATTACAGCAGAAATATAATAATAAAAAAAAATTAACAATTTTCCTAAACAATTTCGGGGAATAATCGATGTACTTAAAGTATAAATTAGAACATCGGTAGGTAGGTATTGTGAGTTTTTAAATAATAAATAATGATGATTATAAAAATTAATCTTTAAGGTAAAACCTTTACATCAAAAATATATAATACATAATAATAATAATAATATATAGGTTAGGTATCATACACAATCGTCGCCGTGAGGGTTATTAAATAGGAAATTAAATGGGTGGTGGAGGATTGGTTTTTCCGAAGGAGTTATTGAAAAATAGCAGTCTTCTCCTTGAACGCAATTTTCCGTTTAGACATCTCGTCCTCTGATCGTTTTTTCTCTTCGATCTCCTGTCGTAGTTCGTACTCGAACCGGTTCGCTATGCCTTGATACTCGATCTGCGAACACGACCGAAACGCGTTTTAGCACAATGACAACAACAATTATTATAAAATATAAATAATGTATTTATCGTATACACAAACTGATGTTTTATGTACCTTGGCCTCGAAAAACTCTTTGGCGCCGATCACGCCGACTTCGTCAACGTTGATTTCCGTCAGCCGAGCCAGCTCGTTGAGGCCGCAGTCCAGAGGCAATGAACCATCATACGCTTTGCGGTAGATCAGCAAAAACTATACACAAACAAACACAACAAAATTATGACATATTAATCGATTCACAATAGT